TAATAATCAGTTTGCTATATAAAACAATTAGTACAAATCCTAATCAATATGAACTCTCCTAATTATCGTTACTAACGGAGGCAGGGGTAACCCAAGGATAGTGACCCAGGACTTTCTGAAACAATTCAGAGTCCTTTCTATGGTAATCTTTCCAGAAAGATTTGTGTGCACTATGAACACAGTTACTTTCAATACTCTCTAGATTATGCCAATTTTTAAATTAGAACCTACTTAAGCCCTAGCCGGTTTGGCTCAGTGGAAAGAGCATCTGCCTGAGGACTCAAGGATTTAGGTTCAATTCTGGTTAAGGGCATGTATCTTGGTTGCTGGCACATCCCCAAGTGGGGGATGTGTAGGAGGCAGCTGATGGATGTTTCTCATCGATGTTTCTGGCTCTATACCTCTCCCTTCCTCTCTGTAAAGAATCAATAAAAAATATATTTAAAAAAAAAAAAAAAAACCTAGTTAAACGTCTATTTTCAAATAAACAATTTTAATTAGAATAAAAAAAATTTCAACTCATTTTTAAATTCAGACCCAATATAATTTACTGCATCTATCATCATCATGCTCATCATTTTGAAACTTGCCTAGGAGAAACCACGACCTGCTTCTTTTGCTTGTTTAAAGTAATGTGGAGGCTTAACCGCCTGCCCATAGATGAATACCCAGAAAGAAGATATAAACCATTTTCAGGAAAAAACATGCATGGATTTATTTTTAAGAATTCCCAGTAAGGGGGGGAAAAAAAATTCAACATCTTTAAAAATGTGTTTATTTTTTTTTTTAAAAAAATCAGTTGTGTACAAAAGTGTTTCGTAGTTTTATCTCAAGACAAATACCCAACCCTCCCCCACAGCCCGCCCTGCTTCATGGTCTTTCTGGTAACCCACCCACGTTCCCCATACAGGAGTTAACGGCTTAGGACAGACCCTCCTACAGATTTATCATCACTAACAGATGGTGGAGAATAGAGATCTAGAGAAGCTAACAAGCAAGGTTCGTTCTTAGTGAGGTTAATGAGAATCCCTACAATGGCAGTAGACTTCCAGCAGACACCACGACAAAGCACCATCAATTGCTGAAAGCTAAAAAATAGATATTTTCAATAGTATTTCATTTTCTATTGGAAAAGTCTTTAAATTACATTAAATAAGTCTCTTTCCCCCCAAAAGAAATAGTCTAGCTTTTATTATGATGCCTGTAAAAAGTAGGTAACAGCAAGCACACAAGGATTGGTTAACAGCACAGTGCAATGATTGATATCCACCCACCCGCTAGAACCAAACTGATAAACTGTGTCACACCTGGTTATATAAGTATAGCAGCATGGTTAAGATAACCAAGCAAAAGTTGACACATTCTCAACTTACATTTAGGTGATGATCACAGGTTTATGAGGGTAGATCAGTCCAATAAAGCGGTAGGAGAGCAGGACAAGATACTGACATTCCCCTACCCCTGGGCCACAAGAGTTTTGATCCACGTTGCAGCAGTACAAATAGAACATGTGACATAATATGCAGACACGGCAGAAAAGTCACATTTGGGGAAAAGGCTATTTATCAGTAAATACTTCAAGTTGCCTTCTTCCCTCGTGATAGCAAAGAGCTGTTATTAAGCATTATTTTAAACTGGTACTAAAAGAATAGAAATGCAAAATTCTTAAATCAATGGTTTGTACCCTGGAATTGAAATTTCTTGAACTAGAAAAAGTGTTTAACACACCATTTTGTAAAAGTCCATGAAATAAAGTTAACTGTAAACAGACGGCTTCCTTTTTCATATCCAAACATGGTTTCCATTTATGTACAAGGATACCTGGCTCCAACTCTGCCCTGCCCGAATTTCTCTGAAATTTTTGAAGCTACAAAATGCTTTCTTTCCTCTGTTGCTACAAGATTGTGGAAACATTATCTTACTCCTATTGCTGAGTTTTAAAAGCTCAAATCAGGTGTAAACTTATAGCCAAGATCTACTTTCACATTGATAAACTTATTAAGCAGCCTAAACAGTAACATGATTTGCTACTTTCTGTAGTGCATAAGTAAGCAATTTCCACCGAACTGCCAATTCTCTTGGATACTACTTAAAAAAATTAGTTTGCATAGTTTTAAGCGTCACCAACAACCACAAATGTGAAAAACACCCCCCCCATCAGTCTTACTTTCATTTCCTAGATTATTCCTCTTAAAAGCAAAATACTCAGAATCCAAACATATTTATAAAATTGAATGTGTTGTGTTTCAGTAAACCATAGTCACAATTCCAAACATTTGTGGGAGCTAACTCAGAGCATCTCATTTAGTACAAGTTCTTCCATTATTTATAAACTACTTACTCTATAATTATTTGGGTCACCAATAGCTATTCATTCTTTCCGTAATCTGTACTGAAATGTTATACAATTATTTGTTGTTTTAAAAGTCAGGCACATTCTCACGGAATAGATTTGATTACAGTAAAAGCCTGCTGGAGTATCAGTTGACTTCTAGCAAGTCTGCCTGCTGTAAATAGGACATCACTAAATATATATATATATATTTTTAACCATTATTTTGAGGCTTTAAAAAAAAAACTGGAAAATCACAAAAAACTGAGAATTATAAAAATAATTTTTACCAGGGTACTTTTTACCTAGACTTGTACTTTTAGTGTCCTTTTTCTAAACATATATAAAAGACAAGAGGAAAAAAGAAATTGCTTTAATTTCTTTGTTTAGGAAAATAAATCCACCTATAGAGAAATATGGAAAAAAAATAGGATGACAGTGTTCCCGAAAGGAGAATTATCACATTAAATGAAAATGAGGTAAATAAATTTTGAAGTGAAAAATCCATTATGGAGAACCTCTCAAACCAAATATTTTACTTTTCAATTTCCTGGGCACTGGGATGTTGAATTACAGTTGGATAAATAGGTACTCTTTGGGCTAATGTGCATAAAAATAAAAGGCAAGGTATAGCTGCCTCCCAGAGCTAAGTAATGCTTGACGTTTAGTAACCTCTGAGTCTCTCCTTTTTCTAACCACAGGACAATTAAATATACCCTGAAAATATAAGTAAATAGTAAACTGGGTAGGTGTTTGATATTTAAAATAATCCAAATGTATTACCAAGCTGCCCTACACTTAAAAAAAATTCTAACCAACAATGCAACAAAACTGTCCACATTTTCACATAATTCCAACCTTACTTCAAAATATAAAGAAAAGTACAAGGCAATAGTTATTTAAAATAAATAAAGAAAAATCTTGTTTCCTTTGGCATCTTTAGAAAGAAACTAAACTACAACAATTTAAAGGAGGTGATTATATAAAGAAATTTATGCTTAAGCAAACATATAGGGGAAAAAACAGCAATTTGTGTTTAGTATGAATATCTACTACTAGAGTTTACTATTGATTAGGAAAGCCTTACAAGTTTTTGGAAGAACCTTCACATCTTTAACGTTACAATATATTTAACAATGGTTCTTTTATTGCTTCTAAGATTATTGAGACGTCAATGAAATTATGCTGAATTTATGGTTTAAAATTATTTTCCAAACACTTAACAATTATAATTTAGGATAAATAACACTTGAAGAAAACAAACCTTTTGTAATAGGACTTTCAATATACAGCCTTGCTTTAATTAATTCCGATTCAATTACATTTTTATTATTTGCACTGTCCTGAAAATTTAATAAGAACTGTTTTTCTATGCATAGAACTGCCTGCATAAATCTATTTCAACCTTCATAAAAGAGTCACATTAGTGTTTGAACTTGCAAAACTAAAAATCTTCAAACTTTAGAATTTAGAATGAAATGTAAGTTTAATACACAGAAAGTCTGACTATATGTACAAGAGAAGGTCAAGTTTTCAGTTTTCGTATTATCAGAAACATCATAAAGAAAGCTAGGTTTATAACACATTTCTATTCCTATGTGCATCTGAAGTATGTACAATTAAACACCAACACAGCTTTCATGGGTAAATAGGGGGAAATGCAAGCAAGAGTGACTTAAAGTATCTGATAAAGCAATCTCTACAAAGCCAAAAGTAGACTAAAAAACTGCAGTTGGTTTATTTTGTCTCTTCTGTTTCTCAAAGAAAAACTACATCAGCTTAAAAATAGATGTCAAATTCACTTGAAAACTAAGTTGGGCTCTTTTATTATTAAATCTTGGGAATGCTGCAACATCAAGTATTTACGGATTTTGCAAGAGAAAGTTGGCAGCTTCATCTTTACATCGTTAACACAGGGACGTTCTTAAGATTGAAGAACTATGACAGCATTCCACATGGACAGCCTAAAAAAAAATGAAGCAAGGGATACTGTCCTTTAACACATCTCCCAGAGAACTTACTATTAGGATATTAGCTGTGTGTGGTAAGAGAGGAAAAATAAATACAGTGTCCCAGTCTGCTGACCAGGACAAAAAGGCTCTGAAGAGGTCACCATCTTCATTCTAGATAAATCTCAAGTTTAAGAATTCTCAAATGCTTAAAATGGTGGTCTTTTCAGCTGCCCATCTTAAGAAGTCAAGTACAAGCATGCAAGTAAATTCACAGGCACAGAGGATCCATGTTAAAAACAGGTAAGGTAGCTGTGATGCAACACCAACAATTTGAATGGTCCTGATACACTCAAAATATTACCTTAATTATTCAACAAAACCCTGAAGCAAACTCTTGCTATTCTGATACACTGCTAAATACTAAAGTAGCATGTTTTTTCCATGGTTTCGCTTAGCTCAAAGAATTTTTACACTATTAAGAAAAAAAAAAATTAAAGTATTTCCCCTTTTTAAATTTACACAGACGTTTAATTAGCTTTATTTACAGAGCAGGGATGTTTTGTGTGTTTTTTTCAGTCTCCAATGGTGCCTAGATAACATCATTAGGCAAGAATGCCAGTTTAAAAGAAATCTATGCAGAATCCTAAAAATAACAGATGTTGAGGCTCCTCAAGAAGGGACAAGCTTGACTATATCAGCAGCTCTCTCATTATGCCTCAGTTACTCAGAAGCAATTCTGTTGCAGTCTCTACATCCCATGATTTTGAAGACAAGGCCACTATTACAGCATTCTGTAGAAATAAAAAGGGGGACAAAAAAAAATCAAATCTCAAGGAAATATCTTAAATCACTCCCTGTCTTTGTATTTAGAAACCACACCTTGTTTTTTTTTTTAATCTTTATGTTGCATTGCACTTGTGCATAAAAAAGCGTCTAAAACAAATGACTGGGATGAGTAAAAGAAAAAAAATTACTGATTTTTAAAAACAAGAAATTCATATATCAAAACTAAATTTAGAGTATTTTTGAAGCAATTGTCAGCCAAGAATTTGCCGCAATCGTTTAAAATCAATGAATATATCAAAATCACCATGCCTTTATGTTACTTACCCTATCAAAGCCCATAGCACATAGGTTTTCTATTTTTTTGGTGTATTCTGGACTAGAAACTGGTGCTCCAGCATACACATGTGCCCAGAGTCGAGCTGTCTGTTTGAACATTTCAGGATTTTGCTTGTACTACATGAGGGAAAAAAATTGACATGACAATAGAGTTGTAACTAGCTAAGTTCTAACTGCCTAATAACTGCTTTTTCTAAATAAAACTAATGTAGGTTTTAAATATTGTTGATTCACTCTCTACTACAAACAAACTAACATTATTATAACATAAGCTAGGATTCATAAGTTATATAGATGAAAGAAAAACAAAGACAAATAACATTTATCAACTCTGATCTCCAATTTCAACAAATGTAAGTATTAGAAAACTAATACTAAGTCAAGTGAGGTCTTAGAGATTGTTTCTAATTAGAGATGGTTCTAAATACTGTGTAGGGCAGATATTATACAACTAAATAGAATTATAGTTTCTAAATTTAAAAATTACTAGTTTCTAAAATAACATGGACATTAATTAACCACAGCTCAGCTAGAATACACAATTGGACTTTACTGTTTTCCTAGAGCTGTATCAGTGAATAGCTATGTAAGAAAACCCCATATATCAACAATAAAGATTTTTTAAAAAGAAAAACACATGTACAAAGCCTAACTTATATCACATGTTTTGAGATGATTATGAAATTACCATACAACACTTGTAAAGGATAAAAACTTCCCATATGGATTGAAAAGAGATAAATTTATTCTCAAACAATCCATTATTTAATAAAGCAAAGTATACATTTAAAATAACTGTGGAATTCACTTTCTTTCAAAAGTATTTTACACATCTTTAATATTTTAACACCGAGATTTTGTTATATTTAATGATAAATATATTTCTAATATTAATTCTTAACAAGGAAATAAGTCAAATTATTGGCTTGTTTTCGGAGCTAGAAGAAATCTTTGAGTCCACCTCACCACTAAAGAGGAAACCAAAGCTGGGAATCAGGCTATGCTTTAGCTACCAACAAGGAACAGATGGCACATACATATATATAACATGTAAAACCGTAATTCTAAGCACTCAGAGACAGAGTATTTTAACAAGAATATACATAAAACAAGGAATGAACAACTTTTCGAGAGAAAAGAGAAACCTGCTAAGAGGAAAAGTTTCATCAGGTAGCCCTGGTTGGTGTGGCAGAGTCATCCTTTATCCTTTACACCAAAAAGGGGGCATGAGTTCTATCCCTGTTTGGGGTGCATACAGGAGACAAGTGATCAATGCTTCTCTCTCATATCAATGTTTCTCTCTCTAATCCTCGGGTGAGGATTAAAAGATCCTGGGTTTGACTTTGATCAAGGGCACTTATGTCAGTTACAGGCTCGATCCCGGCCCCAGTTAGGCAGTTCTGGAGGCAACCAATCCAATGTCTGTCTATCTGCCTGTCTGTCTCTGAGCAATGTTTCTGTGTGTGTGTGTGTGTCTCCTTCCCATCCTCCCACCCCCGCCCTTCTTTAAAAGTCAATGGAAAAATATCCTCGGGTGAAGATTTACAAACAAACAAAAAATGTCCTATGGCAGATCAGGTAAAATGACATGCAGAAATGCATCTTTTTTTAAAAAAAATATATTTTATTGATTTTTTTTTACAGAGAGGGAGAGAGAAAGAGAGCTAGAAACGTCGATGAGAGAGAGACATCGACCAGCTGCCTCTTGCACACCCCCTACCAGGGATGTGCCCGCAACCAAGGTACATGCCCTTGACCGGAATTGAACCTGGGACCTTTCAGTGTGCAGACCGACGCTCTACTGCTGAGCCAAACCGGTTTCAGCTAGAAATACATCTTGAAAAAGCATGAGGTTGAAGAACAAGAACTTAGGGAATTAAGCTGGGTATGTAGATAGTTCAAATCATGGAGGAACTCTGCAAGCTCAAGAATTGAGACTTATTGTGCTAGCCAGTTTGGCTCAGTGGACAGAACGAGGGCCTGTGAACTGAAAGGTCCTAGGTTTGTACCCAATAAAGGGCACATGACCGGGTTGCAGGCTCGATCCTCAGTGGGGGGTGTGCAGGAGGCAGCCAATTAATGATTCTCTCTCATCACTGATGTTTCTATTTCTCCCTCTTCCTTCCTTTCTAAAATCAATTTTTAAAAATCTTTTAAAAAAATTTGAAACTTGCCACGTAGGTGATAGAGCAAATAGGTTTTTAGTAGTAAAGTAAAATGAGATTTGCACTTTATAAGGCTAACCGGTATCAATGTAGAACATGGGGGAAGAAAGAGGCCGAGGAAGGGGAGTTAGTTCTATCACAGCATTAGAAATGAGAAAATTTTAAAAATCTGTACTGCAGAAATCAGAGAAGTATGATGACAGACAGATACTGGGAAGAGAATCAACAAGAGAAAAAAGTACCTAGAGAAGAATTCCAAAACTGTGACTTGGATATTTAACTACATTGATGATGTATCATAAAAAGACAGACGAGTCTGCAGGCTTTAAGATTCTGCATTGAGTTTTGGGAATGCTATGCTGAGGTACTCATGGACATTCAGATAGAGCTATCCAGTTACAAACTGGCTTGTGGGCTCAGGAGAAAGGTCTAGTATGAACATTTTATCAATATACAGATGGTAAGTCAGTGTGGATATGATCATCCAAGTGAGTGTATATATCAGAACCAAGGAACTATATTTAAAAAGGAATAGAAAGAAGAGAAATAATTGTGGGAACTAAGAAGGAATGACTACAACTATGAAGATAAAAGAGAACTGTTATTTCAGAAATCAAGTGAAGAAAAAATTTCTATGTGAAAAATCAATCCTAATGGTTTAGATAGAAGTTGGCAAGCTTTCTTAAAAGATCAGATAATGGCCGAAACCGGTTTGGCTCAGTGGATAGAGCGTTGGTCTGCGGACTGAAAGGTCCCAGGTTCGATTCCAGTCAAGGGCATATACATTGGTTGCAGGCACATCCCCAGGAGGGGTGTGCAGGAGGCAGCTGGTCGATGTTTCTCTCTCATTGATGTTTCTAACTCTCTATCCCTCTCCCTTCCTCTCTGTAAAAAAAGAATCAATAAAATATATATTAAAAAAAAAAAAAAAAAAGATCAGATAATTATTTCAGGCTTTCAAACCATACTGTCTTTGTCACAATATTCAACTCTACCACTTGTAACTGGAAAGTAATCAAATAGGTTTGGCTGTATTAAATAAAATATTATTTACGAAAACAGTCTGACTATAATTTGATGTCCTCTTTCTTAAAGATCAAAACTAAAAAATATTTACTCCAGCCGAAACCGGTTTGGCTCAATGGATAGAGCATCGGCCTGCAGACTGAAAGGTCCCAGGTTCGATTCCGGTCAAGGGCACATTCCCAGTAGGGGGTGTGCAAGAGGCAGGTGATCGATGATGCTCTCTCATCGATGTTTCTAACTCTCTACCCCTCTGTCTTCCTCGCTGTAAAAAAAAATCAATAAAATATATTTTAAAAAATATTTATTCCATTTGGCAAATTATAAGATCACTTTGGTAAACTTTACCATGCCACTTCAGTGCCACAGAAGTTGGTTAAAATTATCATCAAGAAGGGATCACCACTTAATGGAGGGAGAGATAAATGGATACACACAAAATAGATACATGTAGGCAAATGTTAATCATAGAATATAAGTTAGGTAGGTATATGGATGTTCACTCTAATTCTTTTAACATTATTTGTTTGAAAATTTATATAATATGCTAAAAAAAAAAAATAATCTACCATATCCCAATTAACACATTTTGTCGTCCGGACGGGAAGTATAGTGTCAGTCATTGGTGACTGACAGGGTGCTTAATGTGTTAAGCTAATATGTAAAAAATCAAGAAATTATCGTTTCAAATTAAAAAAAGAAGAAATTAACTTTTCACTAATATATCTGACAAAATAACCTTATTGCAAGAACCATTTCCAAATTTAGGTCTGATAGAAGTATGCTCATATGTTAACAATGAAAACCACTAACGCAGAGACTAACAGCTAAGTATACATGCATCTTTCAAAAGGAGCAGCTATCATACCTGATTTGCTACTACTGCATCCTGTGGATCATCTGGTTCTGCAGCTGCCAATAGTGCTTGCAACGACAATAATACCGTGCGGAGAGTCATTGCTGCTGCCCTAAAATTAAAAATAGAAAAAAATCAAGTTAAAGAATGCTCCGCATGACAAAAGCAAAGTAGATGTTTTCTGAATAAAACGTAACTACTGGAGTGAAAAGTATCCCATGCTTTATCTTAATTATATAATTAAGTCATAGAATTTATAATTACATTATTTGTGTACCATGTTTTTTTCTTTACAATGACTCAGTCTTTCTATCTCTTTTTGGTTTTAATACTCACCTGAGGATATTTTTCTATTGTTTTTTAGAGAGTGAAAGAGAAAGGGAAAGATATATCGATGTGAGACAAACACGCACCCTGCATACGCCCTGAACAGGGCCTGGCCAGGGAGAAGCCTGCAACTGAGGTAGGTGCCCTTGATAAAATCGCACTCGGGGCCCTTCGGTCCATGGGCTGACGCTCTATCCACTGAGCCAAACCAGCTGGGCTGATGTTTCTTCTTTTTAAAAAAATATTTTAATTGATTTCAGAGAGTAAGTGAGAGGAAGTGATAGAAATATCCAGGATGAGAGAATCATGAGTCGGCTGCCTCCTGCACGCCCTCTACTGGGATTGAGCCTACAACCCGGGCATGTGCCCATGACCAGAAGAATCGAACCCGTGACCCTTCGGTTTGCAGGCCAACACTCTATTCCCTGAGCCAACCGGCTAAGGCTGATTGATGTTTTTTACATTGAAGTTTCTTTCTCTCTCTCTCTCTCTCTCCCTCTCTCTCTCTCTGTCATTCTATTTCTTAAGACAATTCAAACTGTCTTGAAGTGGCTTTGTTTTTTTGCTCATTACTGATATCTTCAGATAAGCTATATCCACTGACTCATTTCCTACCCATTTCTCTAGACATAAAGTAAAAATAAAGTGATGTGATAATATGGGGAACTTAGTTTCAGTGGCACTCTAAAACAAGGAAGAACCATCAGCACAGATCTTTTACTCTCAAGAAAGCCTTGCCCAGCAGGTGTGGCCAGTGGCCGAGCATCAACTCATGAACCAGGTCACAGTTCCATTTTTGTCAGGCCACATGCCTAGGTTTCTGGGAATGATCCCCAGAAGGGGAATGTGTAGGGGGCAGATGATCAATGATTATCTCTCATTACTGATGTTTCTATCTCTCCCACTTCCTTTCTTTATGAAACCAATAAAAAATAAATAGTAAAAAATAAAATTAAATTAAAGGCCTGGCCTGTTTGAGTCAGTGGTTAGAGCCATGGTCCTCGGATCTGAGATCTCCAGGACAGGGTGAGGGCACATGCAGGAGGCAACCAATCTCTCTCTCTATCCGTCCCTAACTCCTTTCCTCTATCTTTAAAAATCAATGGAAGCCTTAGCTGATTTGGCTGTGATTTTGGTCAAGGGCACGTAAGTGGGTTGCAGGCTCGATCCCTGGCCCTGGCTGGGACAAGTGTGGGAGGCAACCAATCAATGTTGTCTACCATGTTTCTCTCTGCCTCTGCCCGTCTCTTCCACTCTATTAAATTCAATGGGAAAAAAAAAAAAAATCCTCGGGTGAGGATTAACAACAAAACATAGAAAAATTACAAAATATTTAGTCTGGCCCTAGCCAGTTTGGCTCAGTGGATAGAGCATCGGCCTGCAGACACAAGGATCCCAGGTTCAATTCTGGTCAAGGGCATGTACCTTGGTTGCGGGCACATTTCCAGTGGGGAATGTGCAGGAATGGCTGATTGATGTTTCTCTCTCATCAATGTTTCTGACTCTCTCCTCCTCTCCCTTCCCCTCTATAAAGGAAAAAAAAAAAAAAATTTCAATAAAATATACTTTTAGAAAAGTCTGAAAAGGTTCCTTAGCATTCTGAAATAGAGCAAGTTTTTGCTTAAAATATATTGCTTAATTCAGTGGTCGCCAACCTTCAGGACTTCACAGAGCACCAGGTGGTCCATGGACCACCGGTTGGCGATTGCCAAATTCATTTGCTTCTAAATATATTTATAAAGCAAATATGTATCTAGAAAATGGTATCTACCTAACGAGCAAGGATTCATAGTATTTCTGTTAAATATTAATATAGAAATGTTTATAAATGTAAGTATAATAGTGAAATATTTAAGATCTTGAAGAAACAAATATATGCCCATTTTCACCACACTAATTATATCGATATCATTCTAAAATACTTCTTTTTCAGTTGGGGGTCTTCATTTCAACCACACATAGAGAAAATTACTAAGTGACTGTGTTCTCAATTTCCCCACGATAATATATAAATAATGCCACTTTAGATGCTTAGAAGACAAAATAACTCATTACCAAGAATGGATGATGTCTTAAGGCAGTGAGTATAACAAAGTATGCTTTCACCAACTAGTAACATCGGTAGCACTTGGGAACTTCGAAGAAATGAAAATTTTCAGCCTTATCCCAGACCTACTGAATTAGAAACTCTGGGGTGGTTTAACAGGTACTCCAAGTGATTCTGAGGTATGATAATCTTTCAGAAATACTGCTTTAGTGCATTACAGATTAAGCTCATTGAGAAAGGCTATTCTAAACTGATAAAATAAGTATCACATCTGTATGTCTATATTTTATGTATCAGAGAAAAATCTATACAAGTTGTTCTTTAAAATGTTATCAGAGTAAATCTTTATTAAATCTAATTTATTCTTTTAGAGAAGCTAAAGAAATAAGAAAATACTGGTTATGCTAAAAACTGGCTTAAATGCTAAACTAATATTAAAAAAGAGAATAGGATTTAAAAACTATAACCTAGTCTTATCTAATAGAAATTTCTATTTCTGAAATAGAGCTGGGAAAATAGAAGTGCTGCTTTAGACTAGCTTTAAAATTTCCTAAAGTTTACACAAGTTCTTCCTCCCCCCCTTTTATATTTTATTGTTTTTTTGTTTTGTTTTTTTACAGAGAGGAAGAGAGAGGGATAAAGAGCTAGAAACATCTATGAGAGAGAAACATCGATCAGCTGCTTCCTGCACACCCCGTCCTACTGGGGATGTGCCCGCAACCAAGGTACGTGCTCTTGGCCAGAATCAAACCCGGGATCCTTCAGTCCGCAGGCCGACGCTCTCTATCTACTGAGGCAAACCGGTCTCGGCTACACAACTGCTTTTCATTTTTTAAATTTAATTTTATTTTATTGATTTTTTACAGAGAGGAAGAGAGAGGGATAGAGAGTTAGAAACATCTATGAGAGAGAGACATCAATCAACTGCCTTTTGCACACTCCGTCCTACAGGGGATGTGCCCGCAACCAAGGTACATGCCCTTGACCGGAATCGAACCCGGGACCTTTCAGTCCGCAGGCCGACGCTCTATCCACTGAGCCACACCGGCTTTGGCCACAACTTCTTTTCAGTCAACAGTTCTAACATCTTCATATGGACAATATTCTTTTAAGACAGATGTCAGAACATAAACAGTACAGATTTAGTCCTTAAATGTTAATTGTCCTGTTATTATCACCATAACAAGGTTGGAATATTTCTTAATTAGAAGTTCACTACCGTAATTTCATTTTATGCTCTGATAATTTTAAAGAAAATGTTTACAGGTACATGCCATCAAAAACTACCTAGATGCCCTAGCTGGCTTGTTTTAATGGATAGAGCTTCAGCCTGCAGACTGAAGGATCCCAGGTTTGATTACGGCCAAGGGCACATGCCTGGGTTGCAGGCTTGATCCCCAGGAGGGGGCGATGTAGGAGGTAGCCAATCAATGATTCTCTCTCATCACTGATGTTTCTATCTCTCTCCCCTCCCTCCTTTCCTCTCTAAAATCAATAAAATATAAACAAAACAAAACCTACCTAGATAAGTTGGTGTGCTGGCTTAGTGGAGCATCAACCCACAAACCAAGAGGTCATAGGTTCAATTCCCAGTCAGTACACATGCTTGGGTTTCGGGTTCAATCCCCCGTCGGGGGCATGCAGGAGACAGCCAATCCATGTTTCTCTTTCATTGATCTTTCTATCTCTCTCTCCCTTTCTCTCTGAAATAAGTAAAAAATGTATTTAAAGAGAAAGTGGAATAATTGTTGTAAAGCTACTTAAATAGCCCTAGTCAGTTTGGCTCAGGGGTAGAGTGTCAACCTACTGATCAAAGGGTCCCAGCTTTGATTCTGGTCAAGAAGCACATTACTTGGTTATAGGCTCCTCCTCGGCCCTATCAGGGTGCTTGCAGGAGGCAACCAGTCAATGTATTTCTCTCACATGAGTATATCTCTCTGTCTTTCCCCCTCTCTCTTCCACTCTCTCCAAAAATAAATGGAAAAATATCCTCAAGTGAGGATTAAAACAAAAACAAACACACACAAAAAAGCTACCTAAATATACCAGCTTGAAGTGCACTTAAATCACCCAAAAAGGGACAAAAATACAAAATATCACAGAAATATATATATATATATAAACATATCAATATATATCAATATATATATAGTTAAGCTGGTTGTTACTCTAATATCCCAATGGCCTTGTTTAAGTGTCCTAACTTAAAAACACATGACATCACTTTAATAAAAATGCTAATTTGTATAATTTTAAATTAATACAATTGTTTCTTATAGAAGAAAATTTATTTGAATACTTAAGTAAAATATTCACTCAGAGGAATTATTTCATTTTAAATAATGTTAAACTCACAATTATTTTAACTCACAATAAAAATTAAAATCATCCTGCCGAAGCTGCTTTGGCTCAGTGGATAGAGCATCAGCCTGCGGACTGAAGGGTCCCAGGTTCGATTGGTCAGGGGCATGTACCTTGGTTGTGGACAAGTCCACGGTGGGGGGTGTGCAGGAGGCAGCTGATGGATGTTTCTCTTTCATTGATGTTTCTAACTCTCTATCCCTCTCCCTTCCTCTTTGTAAAAAAATCAATAAAATATATTTTTAAAAAATTAAAGCCATCTTATCCTCCTATCCTATCCTATCCTATCCTATCCTATCCAATATGCTAATGATATGCTAAGGCCACTCAAATGCTCGCTATGATGTGCACCGATTACCAGGGGACAGATGTTTCGA